TGCAGGCTGATAACAGACAGTTGGGATCGCAGATAACAGACATTCTCACAGCGTTTATCAACCTTCTTCTTACTCAATATCAAGCCACACTTATTGTTTTTACTTTGGCTGTGACTTTGTGTGTGCTCAGGATGAGTTTGGCTGTGTTTGGCTGTGTATCGCTAACAAGGAAACAACACCTCCATGGAGCTCAGCGCGATTCACAACGTCCCGACCAATCAGAGCACACTGTGCTCACAGGGAGGGTGGGGGCTGCAGCTTTTGGAGCTACAACGAGCCGTTAAAGGCAGAGAGTGAAATTCAGTGAATACACGTAGTTTACAGAGATGCTGTATGAGAAACCAATGTGAGTTTGGAAAATTGCACAATATAAATCTATTCTAGTAGACCTCAACAATGGAATTATGATCAGTGGAAATGGCCATGACATGGGCCCTTTAATGAATAAAGCAAGTAGTCCCACTTGTTATACAAAACTTAATACATGTGCAGTGTGAGGGGAGCCTAAGAGTAATGAATTTCAGCACATTGAAACACAGGACGCATGATTTCTTATTCACGCTTATAAGGAGGCAGAAAACAACATCAGCTCATTATCTAAATGTTAACTTGATACTGTGAAACTTTTAAGATGAGTCGGTGTCACAGCTTTGAAGTCGCCTGGAGTAGCAGTCATCCAGAGAGAAAGGGAGATGAGGAAAAGTGAGATGAGGTGAATAACTGATAAGTATCTTCATCCTTAGAGCAAAATGTTAATGATGCCTTCAGGGATACTGTAGCTCAGCAGATTCAGAGAATACATTCAGACTATAAAAAAGACAGAAAAGGAAACTAAGTACAACTCAACAAGTAATATCCCTTTGCAAAACACATTTAAAATACAGTTAACAAAGAAAAATGAATTACAGCTGTTACCATTATAGCAAAAACAAATATTTAAGGCTGTGTGTAGGCGTCTAAAAATGTATTCCACATGTTTAAATGTGATCTAAAGTAAGTGTGTGCAGCACATGTGTATATTGGGAGAAACACAGTCAATGCAAATATAGCAGTATAACTATCATCACATACAGAATATGTGCCGCACATGTTGCCAATAAATAGATGCAATATAACTTTATCATTTCTTAAAATTTGAAAACATGCATGCAATATTGGAATTACCCTAAACATTGTATGCAATGTACTTAGCTGTCTCCTCCTGCAGATTAATAACAGGTCATTCTTTTTTTATTCTCAAACAGAAGATATAGAAAGCAGTAGGACTTTATGAAACTAGACACGATGCTGGCACGGAGCACAAGCAACTCATTTGCTAACACGATTAGTGCCAAAGCAACCTTCGTGCACTGCTCGTCTGGCACCAGGCTCTATTTTAGGCGTCTTACTTCATAATGTGTGAATACGTATTCTAGTGAGCTAATTTATGACAGGACACTGTGCACTTCCTAAGATCAACATAAATGTTGACTGAATTAAAAGTTTGGAGTTAAAGGACAAAGGGTAGAGGGATGACTGAGGAAGATTTGTGAAAGACAGAGAGATAAACACTGACATACAGTCCAAGAGACACAGAGATATGCGGACCAATATAAAGATAATGAAACACAGACTGGAGAGGCAGAGACAGGGTTGTGGGGATCCGGCCATACCATTGAGCACAGTGAGCTACAGGACTTCCAGTCCAAGTACAGTAAATCCAGCAAAATCTGGCAACCCAGTGATCAAATCAGTGTTCCCACACTAGAACGACTGGGGTAAGCTATGGGAACACAGTGTCCAAGTAAGTACATAACAGCACTCTCTATTGCACCACTGAGGACAGACTGTCAAGGAACTAGACTGAGAAAATTAATGGATATACTAGCTATAACTGCCTTGCATTCAGGGCTTCTTATAGGTTTTTCCATTGCACGACATGGATTACACAGGCCAAGCTAGCAGAATTTTCTTAAGTGTAGCTTGGTTGTAATACCAGTTGGCTCTATATGGAATGTATGGAGTTTTAGAAATTCATAAAGCCCATATTTTGTTTGTAGTAATCCTTTAGTGGGCACAGGAAGTCAGTATTTTGAAGGATATTGCTGTCTGTGCACACTTTCACACATAACACAATGGACTAGTGCCAGTGTTCATGGCAGCTTCCTTGTTCAATGTTCTTAATCATCCTGCAACTCCAAAATTAACTAATTGTGTATACTCTGATGATCCTTGTATTTTTCATTGATGATGCACTTCAGAACAGCTCAAAGAATAACTTTGGCACTCTGCAGAACTGCATTACATAACATTGCACTACCATTTGTTTATATCTATTTGAAATCACTGGGCAAACTTTTTCTGTATTACAGAGTTTCCCCTTTAGGAATGTACAGCTAAAGGACAAACTGGGAGAAGGAGGGGAAATGGCAAAAGACAGGAGCGAGAGGAAAGTGAGGTAATTGGGAGTCGTATGGCCATGTCAAACAGCTTGCCCAGAGATTCCTGACAGCCCAGCGCTGCGTCCTCATGCCTCCTGCACAGAGGCCAAGGAGTGAGGTAAGGAGGAACAGAGGGACAGAGGTATGAGAGTCAGAAAGTGCCTGGAGGTTGGAAAGTTCTGTAAACTAAACAGAGAAACTCCTCACCAGCAGGCTGGCTGGAGGATTTGAGGGCAGGGAGAGGGCTAAATAAAGACAGACAGACAATGACAGATGTGAACGGATGATAATCAGCACAAACCAGAGCACATTGGGAAAAACTGTCATGATTTAGAGGTCTTTCAGTGTGGGTGGACGGTGAATGATTGACCTGCTCACCATCTCACTTGTTAAACTAAACAGACCACCACCAACCCCTGAAGGGAGGAATATGCGTTTGCAACAAAGCAGTGTTACCACTGTTCTACATGCCTCAGGGGCTGGACCCAAATGCACATGTCTGTGATGAGAAGAAAAGGTGCTGAATTGAATTTCCACTGAAGAACAACCACAGTGAGACATTCTTTCCATTTCCATCAACAATGGATAGACAGAGCCAATGCTGTAAATAGTTTAAAGACCTCACAGAGACAAACACGCCTCTAAAAAACAAATACATCATATATACATTGTGGCTGAATGCACAGCACACTCACAAAACTTTACATGAGTGAGAACACAGGGTGTGCAATGAGAACACACAAAGAGAATTACATTTTCCACGGCTCTTTCTCTTAATCGTCGTTTATGTTGCAAAAGTTTGGTAGTCCATGCCATACAAAACGGATTCAAACTTAGTTTTTTCAACAACGGTATACCTTTGCAGCCATGTGTAGATTTGAGTACATTCTGAGCATATGTCAGTGTATCAACAGATGGGAAACACCCTTGTTACACTTCACGTGATTTCCTATTCTCTAATATGGCTGATAAAACAAATAACTTATTCGAACTAAAATCCCCAAAAATGGTGCAAACAATCGCATTATATTATGGAAAGTAATGGAGTGTGGGTTCACGTAAATTTGAGTTCTCCCCTCAAAAGCCAAAAATAAACCGTAAATGTTACATTCAAAGTTATCCTGGGAGAACAATAAATGATCATTTTTATGTGAGGTTAAAATGTGCATGTCAACAACAGATCTAGTAGTCCCTTCAGGGGCACGAACAGCACAGAAATAATTTACCTCCACTGCTAATCTCCAACTCCCCTGCACCTCCTTTAATCCCCCACTCCACTTCCTGGTTTAAACTGCACTCTTAACAAGCCGCCTGGGAATTCAAAAACTAACAATATTCCCGTCCCGAACAGGTCCCCCAGCCTAATAAATTGGTTTCGGAATATTTACCAGACACGCCTGCTTTACTTATATAGAGTCAAAGTTATGTAACAGCTAATAATTCAGTACTCATAACCCTTTAGTAAGGCATTCATCTTTGGCCTCTTTATCGTATGAACTGAGATTTACCATCCAGTGTTGAATGTGTGCCACAGCTTGTGATTCAAGCCTGTGACATTCCCACAGAGAAAGAAATACCTTTGCTCATGAAGACTAAAGTTATTTCTAATCTTTAAATACTCTGTCCAACTTTGTCATAGATGGTAATTCAGAGCCACAACTTCCCATCTCTTAAAGCATTTACTGGATTCGAGGGATTTATCTCTTCATCTTGTCATTTATGTGCTGACTTAGTAAGTCGTATTAAAGTCAGACTTAACTGGAACTGCTTTCTGATCTCGCACCATAACAGCCATGACCAGAACAGGCCAGGATCACAGCCAGGGAGAGTATTTATGAGAAGTAGTCCGCCCTCACATTACTGTAACTTGGTATGTTACTGTAAGCAGCATAGGCTGGCCCCATGTGAAGATCATTAGCAGTGACGATGGGGGACTCCGACTTCCAGGAATAGACAGACCAGTCTCTAAATCTTTGTCAACACATGAACTCACAAATGCAAACAGGCTCACAGAAATGCAGCCATGTGTGCAGGTACACACTGACACACACACACATATGCTCGGCTCCTACACTCCTAACCTTGTTCTTTTTTTTCTCAAACAAAGCCACAAACCCTCTCCAGCGCACGCGCACACACACACACACACACACACACACACACACACACACACAGCAGCACCACGCTATCACATGCAAGCAATCAGCATGCTTCGGATGAGCAAAAACATGGGGCAGATGTAGAGCGTGGAACATTCCTAAACGCTTATGTCCAACACACTTGACCAATAAACACAGCTGATTTACGAGATTCAAATACAGCATAGTTCAAAACAAATATCTTGAATCACCAGTCTCAGTTATATAAGCAAATCCGCTGATGTCTCACGTCCTGTTATTCTGACATGGTCTCCCATATCGTATGAAAACAATGTTTAATATCAAGTTCAACCACACCATATTATAACACCTTGTAAAATATGAAACCCAAAAGAGGCCTGCTGGGAAAATTAAACCTTAATTAATTCCTGGAAAGTTTCTGAAAAGTTTCTACAGTGTGTTTTAGTGGGGTTGGACTTACATATGTGCCAGTGGAAGGTTCTCCTGGAGGTAGAGAGCCGGGGCTGAGGACAGGGGAGCTGGTTGGACTGCAGAGCTCAGGGAAGGGGTTCGGGATGGCAGGGAGAGAGGATGTCCTCAGCTGCTGCTCCTGTTCCTGCAACCTCCTGATGGACACAACACAGAGGGACGTTGATACCGTGTTCAAACATACTTTTAGCATTAGCGTGTGTTCACTAATAAAACGATGAATGGAAGTTTAGGGTTGTGACCTAAAACAGCCTCCTGAAAAGTGAGATGGGAGAACTTTGAAATGAGAGCCGCTGACACATGTGAAATATGTGCGCAAGAGAGCGCCGGAATAAATAAAGCATTGCTGTGCAGTATCCAGGCTCATGTCTGTTTCGATCTGATCTACCCATAATGACTGTCTCCCAGCAAGTGGAAATCACAGACCCCGCAGTGTGCCTGCTAATTTCCTGCAATATTCATCACACATCAATATTAAATCACGACATCACTTTGAATCAGTTTTTAAATTAGGCACATACAGTACAGTAAAGCTCACAGCCTGGGAGAGGAAGGAGGGTTTGACAGCTGATCTAACTTTGACAGCTGATCTAACCCTAACTTTTTAAGGATTCACTCAAGCAAGTTTGTAAAATTCTATCTAGACAGCTAGCTCAGAGAATCACTGTGGAAGACGGTTTTCTCTTAGTCTCTTTCTCTCTTTCTCCGTCAAACTGTCTCTCTGTAGAAAGCAGCGAGTTCAAAAGGGAACGGGCCTTTTGATGTTGTCCCATCTGAGCTTGAGAACAGGGTTATTCGGAGGTCAGCCCTGAATAATAAGAACTTCAGAGCCTGAGTGTGCGTGTGTTTGAAAGAGAGAGAGAGCTCATAAGACAGAAGACACCATTACCTGATCATCCCTCCTCTGTTCCTCTCAAATACTCCAAAGGCGAATAATAGGAGCTGACACCAGCTCTGCTGTGGATGCCTTTGAGTTTGTGTGCACTAAACGCATGCATCCATCCATACTCATGGGGACTTAGTGTGTGTATGTGTGAGTGAGCAATCCTACTTTTGAATGCATACAATAACAGCCTTAGGGAGAAAATGGGTTAGTATTCTTCAAATTGAGAGAGACATTTGTACTTGGTACTCAAATAAATGAGATTTTTTACCTTTCTCCTCCTACTGGTGTAGTTTGAGACAAAGAGGGAGCGACAAGGAGGAACGGGTCATTCAAAGGCTACAGACTTGGAGCGGGGAGGAAACGTTATGCCCAATTATTGGGAAGGTGGTGAGGAATGATAGTGTGGAGTGAGAGGATGTGGCGAGAAAGAAAGAAAAAAAGCTCTATATGTGTGTGTGTGGCTATGCATGTGCAAATGTATGAAGCTGGAAGGAGTTAGCTTTAAGTTTGGTGCCATACTTCTGAGTGCATGTTTGAAGTCTTAATTACATTTTTAACTGCTGGTATATGTGCATGGTTAGCTCCAAGCGTCTTTCATTCTAATGGCGCCTGAGATGCGTTTGATGTCACTGTCAAACACCTGAGGAGAGCAAACACTTTACTGAGGAAAGAGTTATGAAAAATTCAAATCAACCATGTGTTAAATACATTCAACAAAGGCTGAGCCAATTTTATATTATTTATTATTTAATATGTTTATTATAATTAATTGATTGGTTCCGTATGAATAACCAATTCATTTAGTTTGATAAATAGTTTATTGACTGCTTTACATTAAATAAAAACGTAGCTAAAAATCACGTTACACTTTTTTGTCAAGTTTCAAGGACAAAACATTTTTGCACTTATTATCACAAGTGTTTCTGTTGCATCAAAAGCAACACAAGTTTAGGTATGAAACCTTTGGATGCAAGGAAAATGTATGTCTTGCTCAAGAGCACTTTGCCTTTCAAAACCTGATTGACAGACCCTGTTCGTGTCATACCAACATTCATGTGGAAGCACCTTATTATTCTATGATGCTGGTTTTTAGCTATGGTGCTTTGAAGGACACTCACTATGCCGTTCTGCAGACAAAAATAATGTACGTACATTTTCTTGCATTCAAATTTAGATCTGTTCATCAAAGCAGTCTGGTGCCTGCTAGGCAACCAATCCAACTATTAGCCGTGGGGGCAAATAAATATAAAAAAAATGTATATCTGCGTTTACTCCAGAAGCATGTACCTGACAGCGAGGATGTGCATGGGTTGTGACCGCCTGAGGCTGGATTGTGGGGAGTCTGCAGACGACGAAGAAGAGGAGGGCGGCTCTGGTGAGACGTGGCTTAGAGCGAGTGAGTGTTGACCCTGCCGAGGCTGGTTGTGTTGCACGTGATTGTGATGGTGCTGTTGGTGTGAGGAAGAGGTCTGTCCATTGTGCAGCAGTGGAGTTGACTCTGTCTGCTGACCACTGCAGGTGGAGTACAGGCTCTCCAGCGAAGAGTTCATATCATTCACCAGGGCCTCCAAATCGACATCATCCTCTGGAGGAGATATATAGAAAGGGAACACATTACTAAATAATGTTAAAAGTAAGGACATAGTGGAGCAGAATACACAAAACTAAAAGCTTGGGAGAAAATCAAAACCGAAAGGCAATAAAACACAATAAAAAAGGAAAAATAAAATTCCTCTAAGCTTTCCGTTTTGGTTTCAAATAGTTGAGGCACACACTAAAACTAAGAAAGTCCCTGGATATTGTTGGGACTTTCCCTTTCTATTTTAGTTTCTCTATCATTTCATTGTGGCCGGATTCCAACCCTTGACCTCACTTTGTTTGCACCACCTTGATTCTGAGTAATACTGAAAAGAAAAAGAAAAAACTGACAGGCACAGAACACAAGAGCTCACACACACACTCACACCCAATCAGAAGAAGTATCTTGACTACGAACATTGTGCTCCTCTGTGAGCCAAATCTCCAGGGATAACAGGAACAAGCTCCAACCTGCCCCTAACACTTTTCAACTCTCACCGCTGGGGTTCACAGTGAAGGCACAGCAAGCATCTGCTTCGACTTCACAGCATGTTTTAAATATTGTGCTTTTAAAAGGTCTTTTAAAAAAAAACTGGATTCTTTTCAAAGGTGGAATCTATCCTCAAAGCCCCTGTGAAAACCTCTAGGCTCATTTAAATTCATGAAGAGAATTTTTCCACCGAAGGGAGCATGTGGTATCGAAGTTTGAAGCGAGCACAATTGAAGGGAAGATCTCCTTCTAATTGCTCTATGCTATGAAAGTTTTATCATCCGGGTAAACTGGGTGCATAACTTTGCTCTTTCTGAATTACAATCTCCAGTGTTGACTCGTCCTATGATATATAATTCTCCATTATGAATTCATCATCAAATCTCTGATCATCCAGATCCTGCCAACTGTACTGTAGGACACAAGTAAACCACTAGGGGGGGACAGGCTCTAATTGTACAGTGTACTGTAGGGGCTCTCAAACTGACATGGTCTCACATATTAATTAGTGTTACAGGCAGATTTAAATGGCATGCATTACATTGTAACCAAATAATAGACAGAGAATAAGTTGCATTGCTATTTGCAGTAATGGTAAGAGAACCATCTGATCAGAAAGAATGTTAATGAACATTATTTAATTTCTTGAACATTTTTGGGGGCAACCAGCGCTCTTATTGTGGAGACAGAGTTGAAATTGGGAGACAGAGGGGTTGACATGCAGAAAAGGGTCCAGAGCCGGATTCAAACCCATTCATAAGAAACAGATGTGAAAAAATGAAAAAAGGGATTTCAATTTAAGTGACGAGTAAAGATTATTGAGCTATGATGAATTTGATGTAGAAAAGTCTAATTATTAAACTTTTTACTAAGTGAACTACACTTTTTTTATTCATTGTTACGACTATTCCAAAAGTAAACCTCTTTGACAGATAAACAATCAACTATTTCACATTTATTTATGTATTTATTTTTCTAAATTCAAACCGGCTATTTCTCATTTCATTCTCTGAGCAGCCCATGAATACAGTTAGGAAGTAAATAATTTGGTGCTTTGTCATTATCTGTGCATTTTTAGGTTCAAAGCAAACACACTTTGAAAGCATGTCTTTTTTTTTTTAAAGCACATTTGTTGGATGTTCAATTTTACTTTAACATGCAGTCCTTCCGTCCAGAACTACAAGGCTTAAAACTTGCCCTGCACTTTGTGACTCATGAAATTTTCCCACAGCTCAGAGTGCAGGACAGCTGACAGCTGGATCCTGCAAGGTGCTGTGAGGGTCATGCCACTCTAAAAGTCCCACTGCTCAGCGGAAAGCTGACGTTGGGAAAAAACGATTTGATTGACATAAAGTTTTAAAGCACTGGCTTCAAAGTGAGCCCTTAAGCCTGGGATGGAATCAGTTTCCTATGGAACTACTTTTTTCAAAATACAAAATGTTCCAGAGGCACAAACAACATGAGGAGACACAGGTGAACTTGTCTTTAGCACTGAGGCTGAAAGCTATACTTATGAACCTAAAGTGTCGCCTTTGTGGAGCTTTTCCTGAAAACGCGTCTTTTAGCTGTATCACAGGTGGCTGTAAATCACAGGTGGTTAATCTGCCGGTATTAATAGTGACATGTAAGCTGGAGCAGCTACTTATAGTTAGCCTGCGGAGCTAAAGAGCTATGTACCAGAGAACACAGGGTTCATACGTGGCCATACACAAGTTAAGAACAGACAGGGCAAGACACTTGTAACAAAGAACAGAGACATATAACCTAAACAAAAAAATTAAACACTTAACAATTGTTATCTGGTTATGCTAGATAAAAACAAATCAAAAGCAAAAGTCGAACAAAACATGTACTCATCATCCATCAATCACACAAGGTGAGACATGTAACCCCAGGCTAGTGAGAGAAAATAAGTTTCCTCCGAAATATGACCTAGTTTGGCATCTGGATGGGAATTGGCTGAGCTGTTTTCTTCCAAAGAAACAACCCTTAAACTCACTCATGGATGTGGGAATGCTGCGTCATTATCAGTCCGATCATAATCACCTGTGTATGTCACAATCAGGCAAACAAAGGCCTGCGTCATTCACCCGGCGGTAAGGCTGACAGATTGATGACACGGGCAGCATGCAGGCAGCCACGCACGTACCGTATTTAAACCCCTGAAGATTCGGAAGAGAGGAAAAGAAACTGAACACCCACTCCACCCTCTTGTGCCAAGCGAAGTGGTTTAAACGGTAAAACAGAAACACGTCCTTTAGCTTGTATTGTCAGGTAAATGATCCAAACATGACGTCTTTTAGCTTGTATTGACAAGTAAATGATCCAAACATGACGTCTTTTAGCTTGTATTGTCAGGTAAATGATCCAAATTCAAGTTTCAACACTTAATTGTAATACATTTCCAACATGTTGTTCATACTATTTAAATAATGAGTTTAATCATTGACTGTCAAAGTCAAAGTTTTGGGCCATAACTGAACTATGGGAGTCATACCCAGATATAAAACTTTGAAGCATCAAACGATATCATAGGCATTATTGTTGAGTTCATTTATACCTCACATTTAAACCACTCCTCTCATAAGAACCTATAAGCAGTTTAATTATAGGTTAAATATATCCCATGCTTCCTCTTCCTTTTGTTATTGTAACAAAGTTATAAGCCAAAAAACAGACGGGTGAGAATGTCACGGTACTGCACGTACACAAAATCAGCAGGTCTGCTACAGCGTGGAACAGGATTTAACTGCCTCACCTCAGACATATTTAGCTAGTACTAGGGATGTCCCGATCACCTTTTTTTGCTCCCGATCCGATTCCGATCATTTGATTTTGACAATCTGCCGATACCGATTTTTCCCGATCCGATCTTTATGCAATGCATTAAGAGGAAAAAAAAGGTAACAGATAACGGCTGGTCATCCAACGCGATGAATTCAGCTATCTTGGCTGTTATTTTTTTGGCCTTTTCACTGTTCTGGGGTAGTTTCTCTTTCCTTTTAAAAGTCTCTGAAAGTGTCGGTTGTTTCAGTGCCGTTACCTGAGTGGCCGCTGTGTACTCGTCGTGTTGTTGTTGGTGGTGTTTGTATTAGATTGGTCATGTTGAACGTAGCTCTGTTCTTTCCACCACGCGGAACCTCCGCCTTGCAAACATTGCATCTGGCTGTTACACTGCCTTCGCTTTCAATTTTATAATACTTCCAAACTCCTGACATTTTCTCTGTCCCGACTCCCGAGTCACCAGCTGAACGTAGCCTCTTGTTAGCTTACTGCTACTATTAGACACTGCGCCCACTCTGTTGCCAGATTTGAGAGAAATAAGCAACCAGGTCTATGAAAACAAGCCCAAAAGAAGCAACACATACATGATGTTGTGTAATTTTAACCCAAAACTAAGGCCTCAGGATGACTTTAAGACGTGAACATGGTCATTTTTGTTTTGTAACATTAAATAAAATGTATAAAAATATTTTATAAAAAAAAAAAAAAAAAAAAAAAAAAAATTCCGATCCCCGATTTTTTTCTCCCGATCCCCGATCACGTGAAAATCACGTGATCGGCTCCGATCCCCGATCACGTGATCGGATCGGGACATCCCTAGCTAGTACATAACATTCTGAGATATTGGCCAATAAAAAAATACTTAATAACCTCCACGTATGTCTCACAATTGCCACTAAACTAAACTCATGATGGACCCCAGGCCACTCGAATGCCTAGTTAAGTCATAACTAAAGTAAAAGCAGTAGATCACATTTGATTTGAGCAACTCAACTTTTCACAGTTTCTAATTTGTTCTCTTGTCTTTTGCTGTCTTTTTCCAGACTTCATGTTATGCCAGGGCACACGATGTCCTGAACTAAGAAAAGAGCAGGTTCCTAACTGCCAACTGTCTTGCTTATTCTGAAAAAATATGCAATCTTAACACTTGCTGTCTTCTCTCATATCTTATAAGAAAACAGATGGATGGGCCAACTGTTGACTCAATGATGGTTGGTGATTATTAAATCTAGTCCTTGAAGTAATTTTTTTGTATTTTCATATTGTATTGGCCTTTGGCAGAGAGCAAGTTATATAATCCTATAGACAATGGACTTGGCTATACGACTGAAGTCACTTTGGCGTGTGCAAAGAGGAAAACAACAGAGGAGAGGAGACAGCGTTTGCACAGTACAAGGCTGAGACATCGCATCTGTGAGTAACTGGAAAGGACTGCAGTGTGTGTCACACCACGACCCGGGAAAATGTGGTTTTGTCATTCTTCTATTTATTTAAAGAATACTGCATTTGGGCAAACTGTATTAAACTTGTATTAGAACAACTTAAAACAATAAAATTAATAATAATAAACTCCAAAGTAAAATATAATGTGCATGGCAGAATTAATAGATTCATTGTTGGCAAGAGCAACTTCTATTTGTCTACATCAAATGTTGGTTTACAAATGCTACAAAAGCCACTTGTGCAATAGCATCTAATTACAAGCATGTAAAATAATGGAAGACATGTTCCAAAAAAAAACATACTATTCCCTCCAAAATGAATTGGTTTATGACTGTTCTAGCTTATGGGAGCTCTAATAGCCTTCTAATAATTAATACATAGTTTAGTGGTTTTGAATTTAATAATGTCAGCAAGGATTACAACCCTACTAATAACACTACAGGAACTGGGGCTGAATTAAAAATGTCTGCACAAATAATACAGACCATGAGGATGATATGTAACACAGCTTGTGAACAGGCTTAAATGGTAAAAAGACTTAAAAGTTGTAGCTTATTTGACACCTTTTTCATAAATAAAAAAAGAACAATACAGGAAAGGAGATCTGACATAAATCTAAATGGTCTGCACAAATGAATCAAGCTCCTGACTACTAACAAACTATTGGAAATAAACAAAAATAAAACATCAGTCCCTCTAAAAAATTATCATTCAGACAGTGTAAACTAAATGTCTTGGTTAAATTATTTCGTCTGTCTCTCTGGTCCTCTTGAGTTCCCTCCATCCCGGCTGATCCTGAAAAATTACAATGTAATTTCTGCTCCATTTATTTCCCATGCCAGCGCCAAGCGTTCTAATTCACTGGTTGGGTCCTTGCAGACTCCCCGCCCTTACCTCCCATGCTGAGCCAATATTGTGCTTAAATCTCATGCTCCGATTGTCATGGATGAACCCTGTATGGCACAATTAGATAGACGGCGTAATTATAATGGCACCCTGTGTCTATGCAGATCATCCTTTGAACTGCTGAAATGTTTACAGCGGAAGAGACCCAAATATATATTATCCCCCTTGACCCCCCCGCCCCCGGCCCAGTGGAAGATAATGAGGAGCAAGCCGCTGTCCACACTGTACTGAAACACACACAAACCCATAGTAATACTACAACAATCCCAGGTAATTTTGATGACCTTTGTAGTCTTTATATATGAAAATAAATGGAGACTACACAGCTTTTGTTGCACCAAGTCAATGTACAGTAAGTCCCAGAAGTATGAAATATCATATGACAAGTCCTATTGTGTCAAATCTATTAAATTTGATGTCAGCGCATTACCAAGTATGTTTTTCTGTGTCATACAACACCAATGTAACTCAAGAATAATGGATGGGTTTAATGTGCAAGCATCAGCACACACACACCCCACCCACACCCACACCCACACACACACACACACACTTCTTCTTCTTTTGGTGGAAGGTGGTGTACCAACCTTGATGGTTAGGAGAACTGGCTGATTGCTGGAAGCTCGGACCAATGAGGTCAGCTTGTCGGTGATTGGAGGACCGGTCTATATTGTCCTGCTGTGGGAGAGAGAAGCAAGAAAGAAAACATGTCATATTTCAAAATAAAATATTACAATCAACATTGGTAAACACAAAGAACAAATCCATGGAATGGCATTTTAGCACGGTAAGCTATACATCAGGGTTCTTTGTTTGTTTTTTTGATAGAAAAGTTGTTATCCAAATGAGTGGTCACATATTGAAGAATTGTATGTGGGACTATTTTAAATGCAGACAAAACAAATACAAGTATAGAGTTTTCTAAGTGCTTATAGCCGCTGAGGTCATTGCAGTTGTACATGTGTTCATAAAAGAGAGGAAGCTGTGCTCGCAGTATTTGTTGAATCTAATGTGAAGTATTTGCCTTCAAATGTTTATATTTTTAATTAACCAATCATACCTTTTTTTATTATTATTTCTACATACCTTTTTTCTCCATTTGGAGATAATGCTACAAGATACAGATATTTTTTTATCAAATACAGAAAAATACAAAAAGGTTAGGAGAAAGATACTCTTTATACAGTGCCCGTTTGAAAACACTACGACATCCCACCAACAGTGTAAAACACTGCCAGGTGTGTATCAGAGCACAGTTTAAGATACAATTTAAAGACAATGTCCTCGTTTGACCTTTCTTACTCATATTATCATATCATATTTCCAATCACTGTAAGAAAATGACACAGAGTATCGTAAACTATAAAACCAACCTAAAGCACCGTAAAAAAACAGGTACTTTTAATTGAATTTCAAAGGTTTTAGATACATTTTGTCAGATGTGTTCCCCCTTACAGGCTACCTAAAGAATTTCAAGCTCAAATTTGTCAACAAAAATAACGTTATAGTGCTCATTTAAAACACTTTTTCTAAATCATCTGTAACATGGAAATGACCTTTACAAACAAGACTTAATGAGCATTTTGTAGGGATTTCACTCACTGTGAGAGTAAATCTTGAGGTAGAATTCCACTCTGATGACTCAATTCTTCAAATCAAATAGTTTACAAAATAAAGAATCCATGATTTGCCAGTGAAGAAAAAGTTATAAGTGTTCCTCTCTGCTGCATACACTGTCGCTTACGTCCACACTAAAATGGATATAACTGGAAGGTCAAAGTCAGCATATGGTTCTGACCACCAACACCCCCCCAACCCTTCTGCTATACCAACTAACCCAACCGCATCCAATCATTACATTGCATTGTTCCGTCTTTGTATTGTCTTGCGTTCCAGACGTCTTGGCCGGGTAGGAAAATATATTTTGGAGCGCAATGGGACTAACCTTCTTTTGAAATAAAAAAGGGAGGTAAAATAACCACCGCATCACCCGATGTATTCCCATTAAATAGCAAACCCCATCATCAACACATACTGTGTGGGGGTCCAGCTACCAGACTGTGACTGATCCCTAGTACCCAGCCACACAAACAGCACTGGGACACTGTTTGGTGGTGGGATGGTACGCCGTTAGTGTGTATGTATGTGTGTATGTATGTGTGATTGTGTGTGTGATTGTGTGATTGTGTGTGTGTGTGTGTGTGTGTGTGTGTATGTGTGTATGTGTGTGTGTGTGTGTGTGTGTGTGTGTGTGTGTGTGTGTGTGTGTGTGTGTGTGTGTGTGTGTGTGTGTGTGTGTGTGTGTGTGTGTTCAGGACAGGATGGTCATGGTTCAGCTCCACTGAGCAAAAACGTAGGGATTCTTTCAGACCATATACCGGTCTTGAGGCTATTTTGCATGTCTGAGAGTAAATGAGTTAACACACATGCACTAAAGAACTAAAGGATCTTTAAAGCACAACTTGATCTCTTTTGTGGATCTTACCAACAAAAGTCCCAAATCCCAGACAGCCTTTGATGCGACTATGGACAATTGACAAAACTTTAACTTGGGGGTTTAATCCCATAAATACCGACCATTTAGCATAATTCTCAGCCATGCCATTGGCTAACTCTGCGTTTGCGTTTGACTAAGGGTTTACTAAAGCTTATAATGTTGAGACAACAAAGACTGAGGGAAAAAAAAGTCAACATTTCTTCTTTTATTGTGTGCTGAATGAAAAACCCAGATGGGCTTCATCTTTTATACTTGTTTTTACTTTTTTTCTCATACACTTATATGCACACACACACATGTTGCTTAAGTTCTTAGAGAGGGGTCAAAATAGGACTCAGGGTAGGCCAAGTTTTGACAAGTAGCATATAAGGGCCCTTTCATATTGATGAAGTTGAAAGGAACTTCAAATTAGGGGTCGAGGGTTTAGCTTTTAAAAAGGGGTCAGTGGAGGGCCAGAGACAAGGTTAAGTCACTGAAAGCAGGACAGACACAAAGGTCCAGAGATCGGGGCTCAAACTAAAAGGAAAAGACTGAGACGCATGTCAAGCTCCGTCTTTAAAAGAGGTCAGACTGAGGTTAAATGTAATGACCGGCTATTGAATATAGATCAGCACTTGGGCTTACTGACAGCCTTTTAGCTAAGAAAGACCAGCTGAGAGTGGACTGGATTCATAAGAACATTTAAAAAATGGCATGAAATGTCCATTATAGTTCGCTTAACCCAGAACTAACTTTTTGGAAATCTTACTCAACCTTCTAGCAGACATTTTTTGCTGACAGAAATGTCTGTATACAGTCCTGGTAACACCTTCATGAACACTACACAGCAAGTGGAAATCCCTTCTTACATAATTAACCAGAATGGGATCAGGAGGTCACACTAATGTCTGCTCTAGTGCTTCGTTTATCTGTGTGTTTATACAGTGGGACTCAGCTGCTGTCAGAGCACAGCTGAGCTGCTGACAAGCTGGGCTTTGACATTTATTTACATAACATTGGCGGATAAAAAAAATCATATTTTCTTTTAATAAAAAAATATCCAGTAAAGCATCCCTTATCCCTAAATTAATAAACATTAAACATTGAAGCATCTACCAGTGTGTATCAAATCATCCCTGTGGAATATATCATTCTTAATCTGGTGATCCTGCCTAGCCACTGTAGCCAGCAAGAAATTGAGACATACATTTGCCTAAAAATGATTTAATAGTATCATAATGCATTACATTAAACTAAATGTGTTGACGGACTGAGTAGAAGCTGCAAAGTCAACTCAATAACTAAAGCCTCAAGACCAAATCTACACTGACACACGACTGAAATTACCCACAGACAGAGCAGTGAAATATAAACATTGCAAAAGCTTAAGCAAAACAAATGGAATTGTGTGCCTAGTACACTAGAGGGCATACAACTATCCATGACAATTATATTATAGGTAAACAGAGATTCCTTGAGCTCTGCTTACACAGCATTTGACTGTTTAATCCACTCAAGTTTTACTAAAGATGAGGGCCCAGATTTGTTTTACATGTATATACAGCATAGCATGTATTTATGGAAGTTTAGTTATTTTAACAGCTATCATTCAGTGTGTGTGTGTGTGTGTGTGCAAACTAGATTATGTACATTGCACACTGACTGTAGCCTCAGTTGCTAAATTCAAAAACCTGTAAGAACTAAATGATTCCTCGCTGCAATCACATTGTATAGCTTTTAAGGCAGTGTTTGGATACTATATGTATGATGATTCATCACAGGGGGTATAACTTCAGCTTCAACTCAGAACTTGTCTTTTTGTTGGGTTAGGTACCTGACTTATATGGATTTTTGGTTTCTGTCTCTCTAAGCTGTGGAGATCCAAGAGAGTGTAGCAGACTGAACTCTCTGTCCTCTAGCTCTGAGGTCAAAGGTCATATATAAAGCTGTTGCCCAGATGACCTGCAGACAACAGACTAGCTTGATTAGGCTAATAGTGCTACTGCCCTAATACAAATGTTTGGAAGCCCTTTGCTCTACGGAGGCTTCCGTGAAAATCCTACCCCTAACACTAAATTAAAACCAATATTCCAGTTGAGTGTACCCTTGCTAAGTAATACATCAGCACATCAGGATTAAAACAGTTTAGACTGCCCTACCATTGTTGGTGAAAATTCAACCTAAGAAAATATTTGATTAAAAGACAAAAACGATCTGCACCTCAAATTCAGCTAGTGAGGCTGAAGCGATAGAATTTGGTCCCAGAGGACTTATTTCTGACAATGAGCCAACATTTGGTCATGTAGAAGCATATCTTCCTAATGAACGCAAAAGTTCTGTATTTAAGATAACAAATTAGCACAACTCCCAATTCACATGCCTGGACAATAGTCCCATGGTCAATTCATTTGTGACAGGACCAAGGATCAACATTGATTGATTTGTTTATTTGCTTTACAATTGAAAAGGATGCTACACATTTTTATAAATCTGCATTGATTTGCTCAGCCCATCCTTTCCCTGCTCTTTCTCTCTCGATCACTGTGAAGCTAACAAATGTTCATAACAAGTGCTGTTGATTATCATGATTGCCTTGTCATTATATTTGGTTGAGGTTGGGTTCCTGTAATTGCTTTGCTTTTTCAATCATGTGAGCTACAGTCAATCAACACAAACCCAGGATAGAAATATAAAACTGTTGGCCTTTCTATGAATGTTTTTGTATTCATTGCTCATTTTCCATTCCAATATAATAAGAGCTTTTGAAAACGTACTCAAGGAACATGAAATATGATTTCCACTGCGAGAACACATGAAATACCCTTGAGTACAAAAGACCCTAGTGTATGTGTCTCTGTGTGTATGGGTACAAGCACATGGGCCGACCATAGAAAAAGAGAGCAGCTGTTACCTGGGGGCTTGTCAGCCACAAGATGCTTTTGTACCTCTGTTGGACCAACACTCTTTTATAGCCCGTCCCCCTGCAGCTCTTTGTGAACTCTATGTGTTCACAGTGGTGGAATGTTATGACCATATCACTGCCATTCACCAACTCTCTCTTTAGTCTTGACTAGACTAAAAGGACAAACTGTAACCAAAGGCCATTCTTTTATTTCCCTCTCTCTAACAAGTAATCCAAATAGACTATTAAGAGCATCATCAAAAGAGACCGGGAGAGGCAGAATTTGGTAAGGGCCGACTGCTGGAAAGTACCGCAGTGACCTGATTCACACCCACCCTCACCGTTTCCTAGAATTCTTGGAAGCAAATCTACAGAACCTTGAGTACTTCTTGGCTGGTTTATTATTAGTTTCCCATGCTGAATAATAGAGTGCCTGGTTTGTAGAGGGATAGAGGTCCAATTTCATAAACTCATCCAACTAAAAAATTCCAAGAAGTCTAATTTATGAGTTATGTTCGCCATGCCCTGGCGATAAACAAGTCCAACATCCGACGCAGTGACACGATCCAATGCAATGCAATTTATGCAGACAATGGCACTATTTCTAATCCAAATCTGGCTTCACACTTGATACTGACATCAACGCCTGGCTTCAAACTTTAGTCTAGGGTGTCTAGACTACAATGGCAACATTTCATCTCTACAAATTGAGCTGTTAAAGCAGCATATACATTCTTCCTACATAGGAAGGTTCCATTTACCTGATAATTTGGATGATGCAGGAAATAATCCGGACATCCGGCCACAGCCATGTTTAGTGTTTCTCAGCTCTTTTGTACAATTTGCTTGGCTGGATCAGTTTCGATACAAGATGAACAGAGAAGATGAATCTGTAGAGGAAGAAGAGCAGACAAAATGGAGGTTAGTATAAAACTACACAGGAAAGTGAGAAGGTTCAACTGAGAAAGGATGAAGGAAGGGGAGGAACATTTAGTTTAAGTTCTGTGGAGACAAATATAGCACAGAGCACTTCTTAACCCACAGTAAACAATATGAATGAGCAACAAGGGAGGAACAGCGGTTGGCTTTACATTTTGAATTGTGAGCAAAATCAATAACTTTCATTCAAAATCAACGTCAACACTGATAGTTGTACCTCCCTTTGTCCAAAGAAGGAACAGATTGTAACAGACATCTGAAAAAACATGCTTTGCAACATGATCAAACATTTTGTAAAGGAACTAAAGAAAGTTACATTTTTGGTCACTAGATTTGCACCAATCAAATCAGTAAAGTGCATGTAGTGGAGTTGCACTACCCTTTTTCTTTTCTTTGTTTTCCTTTATTTTACCAGGATAAGTCTCATTGAGATTAAACATCATTGCAGCACAGACAGTACCTCAAAATGTTATCCAAGAACAGTACTTGAGTTAATGTGCTTGATTACATTTTACAACAGTATTTTTAGAGTAAATATGAAGAAGTCTGGCATCTTCTGCAATGCTCGATTATGAATAATGGAACAAGAGATGCTTAACTCAATGAGAGTTCTGATGTTTTGGGTTTTGTTAATCATTCCACAGTCTCAGACCCGACCGGCTTATCTCACCATACTTTGATGGCTTGGCGTTTGTAAATTAAAATAGCTGCGATAGAAGTGGCACCTCAAGGGACTTTAAAGGCGTTCTTCTGCTCTATGAAGCCTCCCTCACGGACTTCCTTGGGTCAAATAAACCCAAATGCAACAACATGGACTTTAGTCTATTTGAACTTCTTAAAGTGGGTATCCTATTAACCTCTTGGCACTGCTGCCACTGAATAAACACCTGTAAATGTGGACCCAGAAATACCCTGCAGGCACCTCTCCAGGTCTTAAGTTAGATCCCAGGGTTATTTGAAGCCGAGCAGCTTGGGCTTGCAACTATGATAGTCTTTTATGCAGCAGTTCATGAACCTGTGTTGGTGTTTTAAAAATATGACTAGCCATTTTAAAGACAGCTAATTTTATCCCATGTTTGCATTAGTGGTGGTGGCGGCTGCCCGTGTGGCCTCAGAGTGTGTGTGTATATGTGTGTGCATTTCTGCCTGTGCATTTCTGCCTGCACATGTGCTGCGTAAATGTACTGTGTTGGAATATGTTTGTGTGTATATGGACGTTTACATATGCTTTGCATGTGAGCCTTTACGTGGGTGTGTAAAAGCACTATTTTTAGGATTTTCAGGGCCTTTGAGAAGCTTTACAGAGTTGTGTGTGTTGCCGTCTTTGACCGGCCTGTCAATGTACAATGATTGGACCACCCTACCCCCGGAAGAGTAAAGTACCACAATGTACACTGGAAAAACTGTTAAACTGCAAAACCTTCTGAATAATTGAATGTGAGAAAATAAACAGGCAATACAATGAACCATCCTTTTAAATCAAACTAAACATGACAGCATTGACTTTAATGTTCGAGTTACGCTTAATGTGATTTATCAAAATTGAAAAAGGGCACATGAGAGATGTTCAAACCATGCCTACTATCTGACCAACAATTCAGCAGTTGTTATCCTGAAATGTTGTCAGCTGATGAGATCAAAAATAAAAATGTAGACGTTTTTTGAATGCCCAAAATATGTCTTGCAACTAATGATCAAACCATGAATGCATTCTAAACAAAGAACTTGGCACCACGATTACTGGGACCACTAAAAGGGCTTGCTTCAAACAAGTGTGTGTGTGTGTGTGCGTGTGTGTGTGTGTGTGTGTGTGTGTGTGTGTGTGTGTGTGTGTGTGTGTGTGTGTGTCTTATTGTGTCAGTCCATGTGTGTGGCCTGTCCGGCTGGCATGCAAGGACAGCTCGTCATTTACACATTATTTACAGACACACAGTTTACAACAAAAACAAAACAAATTAACATCCGCCTAAACTCTCCGAGCAGCCCCTCATTAGGCGCCACACACACCGGCGGCCTAGATGTGGCTGAACTTCATGTTTATTATATTCAGGAGTCAAGAGGTTGCGCAAAAAGGACAACAGCAGACTTCAATGACCTGCATTAGAAGTTAAACATAATGGTCGCGCCTCTCCAAAGCTTTAATCCTTATCAAAATTGCTACTCTCAATTCAGGAGGATTAAATTGTAAACATTTAATACCACTGAAATAAAAGAAATATGTCCTTTCAACATTAGTGGTTTACATTTCTCTTTATCTGTTCGTGATAAAACATGGGAAAATCTCAGGCATTACACAAAGAATTAAAATACCTTGCAAGTTTCAAAGTGCTCATAAGTGCCAAAGTGACTCTCAGTGACTGATATATTGACCAAACACACACGCACCTATGCTTAATTGCTCCTGGTCACAATCAAAGCCATTCCATTGTGAGGATTAGACCCTCTGAGAGCCCTTTGATTCGATTTCTTCCACTTCAACAGTGTACTGAAACTTAAGCATCTCTGACCTTGACAGTGCAATTATCCGGACAGTGTCGCCGCACTAGAAAGACTAGAAAGGAGGACTTGGGGGTATGGCAGCTGTACCCAGCGGTGAGGTGACTGCATCTGGATTAATTAAAGTGATTTTTGCTCAAACTTCCATGAGGAAAAACGTTTAGCTGGTGGACTTCAAACCAGCTTCAAACACAAAAGCCTTAAGAATGCCCATCATGAATAGGGATGGGTATCGTTAAGGTTTTAACGGTACTACTACTTTTATCGATACCGCTTATCGGTCCGGTCTTTTAACGGTACTCTTATCGGTTCTTTTGGAGAGAAAAATGAGGTAAACTAACTATATGTTGTATGTCAGGGACGACGGATGGAAATTAGCTCAAAGCTAAAATCCGGCATATTTACACTTGAAGCTAGGGTGACCAGATGTCCCGCTTTGCGCGGGACTGCACAGCATTTTCACGACTTTTGGTGCGTCCCGCAAATTGAGACGATGTCCCGCATATTTCATTTTGATTGGCCAAAACGCTTTTCTGCGGAGAAAGGCCGGCTCGGTTCGCTGACGGCCGGCACCGCCCATTATGATATGTTTTAAACGGCATTATGTAAGTTGCGCTGACAGGCGACAGAGGTCCACAGTGTACCCCCCCGTTGACAGTTCATGCGTCAACATTACATTTACATGTCCCACATTGTCCCACACAAACATACTCTCTGTCCCACTTGTGGCTTTCTGGCACCTGGTCACCCTACTTGAAGCATTATTTGTCTAAAGTGTTCATTAATGTGCATTGTCCCTATTCAAATAAACGATTAAATGAAAATTAACAAATTGTGAACAAAACTAACATTGCTTTTTATTTAAATGAAATACATAATATTTCACATCAACAGAAACAACAACGTTTTAACAAATCATATTAAATAATCTGATGACAGAACTGTGAACAGAATGGCTGAAACTTTAACAAACTAAATAACTCAGTTCCCTGTAATCATTAACCCATGTTTGAATCATTGAGTTAGCTCCGTGTGTTGCTGCTAGCATACATAACACCTGACGTGGAAACGTTACTCGTGGATGGGGCTACAGAGCTACTAGAGAGACAGTCGAACCCGGTGCATTTCTCCGTCTGAACGTGGTGCACTTTTGCAAGATGTTTAGACAAATTGCTCGTGTTACCGCCCTGACATGCTAAACTCTTATTGCACTTTAGGCAACGAGCGAGACGGGTAAAGTTTAACCACACCTCGGAGCGCGTTCTCTCCGCCATCTCCTCCGTGTGTGTGTGTTGCTGCATGTAGCAGCTGCGTGTGTGTAAACTGCCCCGCCCCCTCGCAAGCAGGCGGGGGAGAGAGATCTCTCGTCTGGATTGGAGAGATCGAAAATACTAAAAATGACGCATTTTGCAGTCTTTTTGCGTATTAGAAACGGAGTTGGCGACACTAAAACTGCAATATAATGTTTGTGTAGCAATAATACACATGATATATTTTTTAGATGTCTCCAGTACCGATAAAAAGACCGATAACGTCGGAGCTTAACGGTACCACGGTCTTTAATAATTCAGCCCCGGGGCCCGTTTAATACCGGGGCTCGGTACCCATCCCTAATCATGAATCATAAATCCTTTTCAGCACTATCCTGCTTGAGACTTTACAGCAAATATTCTTCACATATGGTGTTCTACTCAATTCATACAATAAAAAAAAAGGTTTTAAATCATTACCTGGAAATATATGTATCTATAAGATAAGAAATCTGAAAGAAACATGGAAACTTTTTGAAAAACGTTGCCTCCAACTTTCAAATCTGATAATGTGCATCTACAAAACACACACACTACACAATTGTTAACTAGTGATGGATTGGCATTTTATTTTCCGCTGCAAAATAATAGATCATTCAAACAAACACTTATGCTTTAGAAAAGAGCCCGCACCAATGTGACGTGTATGAGATTTGTACTTAATGAGCTAGAACATGCAATGTTATACGACATCGCCGCTGAGCCAATAAGCCATAAACACTAAGACAATTATTCAGTTATTTTCTCTACTAAAAAGTTTCATTAAACTGTAACAGGGGGAGTGCACATGTGAACTTGTAAGACACAAGTACAGATAAAAAAAGTAGGCGACCATAGCCGCGTTCACACCGGAGTACTTTTCCCCGTACTTTTCGCGTTTAGTTCCGTTAGTAACCCTTATGTTGCGTTCACACCAAAAAGAGTACTTCAAGCCGGGAACTTTTACCCCCATTTTTTGTGCCTGCTGAGAGATGGTACTTTCCTGGGGGAAAAAAGTGCCCCAGTTCTGATTGGCTGGGCGAATTGCAAACCACGCCCCGTAAAACTCTGAAATGTTTCGTAGAGCCGCCATTTTATTATCCTGGCATTAGCATTATTAGCATTAGCATTCGCCCAGCGCACAAACGCAGAGAGACTAACTTATG